CTAATATTTGAATTACTTGTTGTCTGAACGCTTCTAAAATTTCTCAATTCACGTTCCTCATCCTCCATCCATTCACTTTCATCATCACCTTGATTCATTTGAAAATTCATTTCGTTCCAACTACCGAAGGATCGCGGGGGTGATCGGAGTTCATGGGGCCCGTGAGCAAATCGGCAATTTTCACCAACTTTGCAGGCTCCTAATAACAAACACATTTTTCAAGAGAATCATCAACCGCAAAACAGGTAACATGGAGTTTTGATAAAACGGGTCAAAGCTACTGCTATTATATTGTTATACACATTCAAATGTGATTGTGGTCTTCCCAAATTCATCAATATTGCTATGAATCAGTCATGTTAATACCTGAATTCTTCCAAAGGCTACAAAGAGCTGTTTTGTAAAATTCCTTTGTCTGTAAAAGAAGAACAAATTAACAAACCATCGGAATCCAATAAACAGAACCTACATGGCGTAATTCATCCAAACCGTGAGCATAGCGGCAGTTATTTCCGTTTTCACACGAACCCGTTTCACTATACGTTCGGCACAACTTTGTTCGATAGAGATCTGGACGCTGTCTGAGTTCTGTTGTCGAATGCGCGAACATACAATTGTTCTTCGGACATGGACGCCCTTTTGTTAAGTGAACACAGAGGCGGGTCTTCTGAATCGTTACTTGCAACGCTGCAGGTACTTCCCGCTGACTCAGGGTTCGCTGAGGGGGACAAAATCGACTCTCATTTGGAGTCCAATAGGGGCGTGGGTATGGAGCCCTCTGGAATGAAGATTGGGTTTCCAATGGAACAGCTGGCATTCCATTAGAAAGAGGTTTGCCATTCTCGTAACCGTCATCCTTGAAACGAGAAAAACGTTGAGAATCGACTATATCGATCGATGCAGATCCTAGTAGAGTTGGAGGCGGGGGGGGATTGCGAACAAAGGGTCGAAACCCGGCTGGGATCCCCTGGTAAATTGGGCGCCGCAGCATTCTCCAGTCACCTCCATTGAACTCCATATGAAGGGATAGATGGAGCACGTCAGATAGATTGATGAAAGAAGCTAAAGAAGAAGGGATCTCTGAACATACGCTGGTTGAGGGCGAAGCAATGAAGTAGAAATAGCAATCGCCTCTAGCGTCTTCGGCTACAGATGAATTATGCAAGAAATTGTAAATTGTCGCTAAAGATGAGTCTGAGGTCAATGAACTGATTAATTGGAAAGTAAAGAAGAAATAACCATTTGGATAAAATTGGCAGAATTCCGTTTTGAATGCTTTGAAACGAATGATGAAACTGCACAAAGGGGATTCGGCGATTAAGAAGAAATAATTAGGTCAGAATTAATTAGCAAGAATCAATTAGGCACCGGCAGTCGCTTCTCCATGTCGTCGTGTCAATTCAACAGGACCATTTCGCTCAAGTTTGGATCTCTCACATTGGATGGAAGGGTGTCAGAGAGATCTTGAGAAATATTGATTGGATGAAGTGATGCAACGCTTTCAGTCTTCGAAACAAAAACCTTCGTGGTGCTCCATGGACCTTTTTAATCAGGAAAGACTGCTGAAATCCTGATCTCGAAAGTCCAACCCACGAAATCATGAGAAACAACGTCGCAGCTGTATTTGTTGCCGCCTCATGTTGGTCTATTTGTTCCTCTCTCGTTTTTCTGTCCCCATCACACCGGCGGTGCATCTTCTGTGAACAAGTGATAGAGTTTGTTGGAAAAAAGAAGCAGCAAAATTTAAATCAATAAAATAATCCACCCTATAGCAACGTAGAACAACCAAACAGGATAAACAGCAAGGAGTTTCCGATCCTGAGGGACAAGCTCGGACATGAACGCGGCGGACGCTAAACAAAGACAAAAAACATCTTGATCTCAGGATATGAAAACTAACCACCAGTGGACCAGTGAAGAGCAACGAGAAGAAGGATAACTTTGATGAAGGCAACGCTGCTTGGAATGAAATAGCAGATAAGAGCTGCGATATCCAAGGGAAAAATGCAGTAACCGAGCACACAAACACTTTGAAAGAACGATCTGAGATCAAAAAACGCAAAAAATGATTTCAGAATATGGGAATGAACTCACAGCTTTCCACCTAGAAGAACAGCGTTCGCAGTGACGACTCCTGAGCCAGCCCATACAATCACGAACACCAAAGAGAAGACTAGCTTCTTCTGATGGTTGTATGCTTGCGCCCATAGAATGCTGAAAAAATCAAGCAATTGAATCACTCGGACAAACACATCACTCACACTGAGAGGGTGAGACAAAGAAAGAGAGGGCCCCATAAATCCCCTGAAAGAAAGTTATAGTTGAAATCCCATGAACGATCACACTAACAATCACGTAATCCAGCGCCCTTCTCGGATCGAGCAACTGGTAAAAGAACATAATAAAGTTTGTTTCCAACATTCCGTAAATCTCGCAGCTGGAAATCAAATGAAGAAAGCAAATTAAAAAATGAAGTTAAGAATGAAGGACTCAAGATGCTTACAATGGTTTCCTTCACAGGCTCATCCAGCGTTCCTTGAAATCCATCGCCGTCGATGGATCCCGCTTCCATTCGTCCATCAGTTATTCCGATATTACGCATTTGGGCGAAGTGAAACAGGTGTGACTGGTTCGACAAAAATAAATTCAAAAGAAATTGATGGTTCAGGAAGGGGGACAGTCGACGACCAGACGACCACTTAAAATACTCAGAGCCTGAACACATGAAACGTATATGGCTATTCCGCGTTTTCAACTTCACCATCGTCCTGCTGTCGAACCAACACCTCACCATGAAGACTCGCAATGTCTCGATATGTCCGGAATTGAAATCCGGAATGGGATACTTGTGGCCATCGCGATTCATCATACAACGAGCGTAATGAGAAACGAACACTCCGCAATCAAAACGATCAGGATTTTGAGTTGGCCAGTCATCCTGAATGAACGACTACATTACAAAATAATATTTGCAACTGCGCACTTACAACCACCACACGTTTCCACGGAAGGCGCAACGCAGCTTTCTCTTCTGTGAAAATATAAAATCTTGTCATCTATCTATCAACTCGGTTGCTCACCGAGAGTCTTCTTGTTTGCTTCGTATTCGAGCAGCGCATCGACGTACTCAAAAAGTAGCCATCCTGAGGAGAAAATTGCTTTTGAAAGTATTTGAGAGGACACTTGGGACTCTCTGGGATCCACTTTTCTAGACATGGGAGAGTGAGTTGAGGGGGGGAGGATTGAAAGAGGGAATCCTAGAGGATTAAGGACTGGGAATATTGGGACATCAATGTTGTTGAATGTCCCAATCAGATCAGTTGCAGCTTGACGATACGATGATCGCATTGGATCAAAAAGTTGAATTTCTTTGTTTCTAACAAAATAAGTTGCAGAATAAGAAACTTGTGTGATTCAGACACGTACTTGACATCGATGACAAGCAATGACCAATGGACTGTCAAAAAATGAACTGGAAGACAAATTTGATGAAAATCCCAGATAGTTAATCGTTGTTTATGAAAATATTGAGAAACGCGAGAAACATTTGGGACGTCCAAAAATCGTGTTGAACTGTTGATACTCTTGCAAGTCTGATGATTAAAATCGAGCGATGATGATTGACTGTCTGGCTGAAAATTGTCTTCTTCAAGATGTGAAGTCGAAGGTTGAAGGTTAGAATCGTCCGATTTATGCGGTTCTCTTACACCTATCCATTTTGGGACACCCACCCTTGCTCCACTTGCTTGTCTCCGTCTGCGGGATATTTCTCCTTGTTCTTTAGAATCATCTACTTTAAGATCTTGTGTTGGTGCTTCAGCATCGCACCGTCGACGTTTGCCGTTCGTCTTCTCTGGAGTTTCATCACCTCTTGCAAATCGCTTTCTCGTGGTCGGAATATTGAGAGTTGATAACGATTCCCCCTCAGGAGAAACTGGGAATGACTTTGGAGCGGCGAGTGTCGTCAGATAGTCCGTTGTAAGGAACAGCATCGACGGTCTTCTGAAAAAACGAACGAACACCGATTGCTGTCCCATCCTGCCGACCGACACACCCTCTTGTTTGTTCGTTATGATGTCGCTGAAGAAGTTTCATCCACGCGTTCAGCACGTCAGCGTTGACCTCGTTTCTGTCAACATCCGCCTCATTACCGGAGCGTAACGTTCGTTTTCCGTCTAACATCCTTCGATTCTTGAGCGCTCTACTTTCAAATCGATGGAGACGCAGGCACCACATCAATCGACGCGTCAAATACGGATCTTGCGCCGCGACGGACTCGTAGGAATTGAGATGGCGCATGTCCCAAAGGGAGAGAATTCGACGGCGGGATTCTGGTTGTCTAACTAACTCAGCGACCGCCTTCATGAAGGGCGTCTCCGTTTTGGGACATTCCTTTGGTCGCCATGAAACGCATGTCGGCATCCTGCGATTGAACGCATCTTCGCTATTGGAAACGCTAAGAAGCAGATAAATCAAGCGACAGCACGCCAACTCGTATTCAACCATATAAATTGCGAGAGGACATTTTGATGATTGGAGAGCTTTGATTCGTTTGGAGGCCCCAAATCGACTTCGTTGACTTGCTTGAACCTTCTGTCGTTCCGGGATGACTGAGTCTGACAGAATTCGAAGTCGTTGGAGAGTCGAGGCGACACACGGAACGGCCCAATCACCCGGCAAGAGAGTCAGGAAATTGTTTCGAGTGATATTCAGAACAGGTTTCGAGGTCTCTCCCTCAAATACAACATCATCATCACTCATCGAATTTAGGAAGGAAGGAGAGCACAAAGGGACAAATTTATGATTCCACCATTCATGAAAAACGGTGAGACCCAAAAACCGGGTCCCAAGATAAATCCGCCGAGAGTTGAACGGCTCAACGCACCCGTACCTCTAACATGCACATGCAGTACTACTTTGATTCAAAGCCACCTTCTCATACAGTTAGCGACCTACTCTTGTCACATTGTAACCACAACCGATTTTTATCAACTGACAAAATGGTTTGCGCACCGAGTAAAATTGATGTTGAAGCTTGGGTTCAAGCCAACTTGGATTCCTACATCTACGAAGGGGACGCCACTTTCCTCGCGGGTCCGACGGAACGGACACAAGCAGTATGGAGCCGATGTATGGAATTGCTGAAGGAAGAGCTCGAAAAGGGAGGCACTCTCGATGTGGACACCAAAACAGTGAGCGGAATCAACGAATTTGCTCCTGGATACATCATCAAGGAGAAGGATTTGATTGTTGGGCTCCAAACTGACTATCCACTGAAACGAGCCTGCAAGCCAGCAGGTGGGGCTCGTATGGTTGCAGCCTCCTGTGAGGCTTATGGATACCAAATGGATCCCCAGATGGACATGATCTTCACAAAGTATCGCAAGACGCATAATGCAGGCGTTTTCGATGCTTATACTGATGCCATGCGGGCTGCTCGTAGCAATCACATTCTCACTGGGTTGCCTGATGCTTATGGAAGAGGCCGCATTATTGGTGACTATCGACGCGTCGCTTTGTACGGCGTCGACCAGCTGATCGCCTCAAAGAATGCGGACAAGAAAAGCCTTGAGGATGAAATGACGGAAGAGGTGATCCGGCTCCGCGAAGAGATCTCCGAACAAGTACGCGCTCTTGGAGAGTTGAAGGAGATGGCGAAGACCTACGGGTTCGATATCTCAAAACCAGCGACTTCAGCTCAGGAAGCAATTCAGTGGACATATTTTGCGTATCTGGGTATGTTTCTGAGTAGAGAAATCTGTCCATATGTTTTGTTTGATAACGCTTTCTTCTGGCAGGCGCAATCAAGGCGCAGGATGGAGCCGCCATGTCTTTGGGTCGGGTTGATTCCTTTTTTTGATATTTTTTTATTTCCCGCGACATCAAAAATGGCGTCCTGACTGAAGAACGCGCTCAAGAACTGATCGATGATTTCGTTGTGAAACTTCGACTCGTTCGCCATCTCCGTACTCCTGCATTCGAAGAGCTCTTTAGTGGAAATCCTACCTGGGTCACCGCAACTATGGGAGGAATCGCACCCTCTGGAAAGCCCCTCGTCACCAAGACGTCTTTCCGTCTTCTGAATACGTTGATTAATTTGGGACCTGCTCCAGAACCAAATATGACCGTTCTCTGGTCCGTCAAGCTCCCTGAAGGATTCAAGGAAATTCTGCTCTCGCGTTTTCAATTAAAAACGTCTGCAATCCAATACGAGAACGACGACGTCATGCGGCCTGTGTTCGGCTCAGATTATTCAATCGCTTGCTGCGTTTTCAGCGATGACGATTGGAAAGCAAATGCAGTTCTTTGGCGCCCCGCTGCAATTTACCAAAATTGCTTTCTCTATGTGCTCAACGACGGTATTCTATTAAAATAGATAATGAGAAGCAATTGACTTCTGTTTCAGGTCGCGATGAAATTACCGGTAAGCAGGTCGGACCGAAAGATGTGTTTCTTCCCTTCCCTGATGGACCTCTCGAGTTTCGATATGATCAAGGAAAGATATTTGAAGGCAATGGATTGGATGGCGAAAACTCTACGCCAACACGATGAATGTTATCCATTTCATGCACGACAAGTATAACTATGAACGTCTCGAGATGGCTCTCCATGACACTCACACCCACCGATTCATGGCGTACGGAACAGCCGGAATTTCTGTTCTTGCGGATTCATTGTCCGCGATCAAAACATGCCAAGGTGACACCAGTTCGCGATGAGCGTGGAATTACAACTGATTTCAAAATCGACGGCGATTTCCCCAAATATGGAAATGATGACGACCGCGTTGACGAATTCGCAAAATGGGCGACGCACGAGTTTTATTACGCGTCTCCGAACCCACAAGACTTACCGTAACGCCGAGCCAACTCTTTCAGTCTTGACAATCACGTCGAATGTCGTTTACGGCAAAAGCAACAGGTTCGACACCGTGCGGACGAAAAGCTGGGAGAGCCGTTTGCTCCTGGTGCCAATCCGATGCACGCGGCAGAGACTCGTCGGGTGCCTTTGCGTCTTTGAATTCCGTCGCCAAGATCGACTACGCAGATTTGCAAGGACGGAATCAGCAATACATTCTCACTTGTTCCAGGAACTCTTGGAAAAAAGCCAGCCAACCCAAGAGACAAACCTGACGGCAATGATAGATGGCTACTTTTTCTCAAAATGCTCATCATTTGAATGTCAACGTTCTTCATCGCGAGACACTTCTGGATGCGGTCGACCACCCAGAAAAAAATATCCTCAATTGACCATTCGTGTTTCTGGATACGCTGTTCTTTTCAACCGTTTGACTCCATCCCAACAGAAGGAAGTGATCGCCCGGACGTTCCATGAGCGAATGTAAATAGTTGACAAACGAATCGGAGCTCGCGAACTCTTACGTTGCCGAGTTTCATGTATCTTTCGTGCGACTTTTTTTTTTATGTTCGTTGCTTGTCTCTCGATGAAATTCCAATTTTTCTTAGTTTTTCTCAATTTTTATCAGCAGTGGAAATTCTTGTATGAGTAAACGAGTTATTTTTTCATTCGATCTTTCTACACCGTCCAGAAGAGAAAAGAAAAGAAGTCGCACCGCCCATTGGCTGCAGAAGAAGACGTTTTAATGGCTTGCTTGTGCAGTTTAGACTCACAGCAAGTGAATCGAATGATCGTCCAACAGGCTTCCCTGCAGCTAATCGTTCCTTCTTCTGGAATGGGAGACTATCGACATGTGACTGATTTCAAACTTACCGGTCTCGAAGACTGTTCGATGTCTTTCCCATAGAGCATCGCAAGAACAACGAATTGTTGGGTGAAATTGATTACACCCACACCCCTGTATGCATATTTGCACGCGTGCGTCTTATGAGACTTATCTCACTTTGTCATTTCTCTGGCACTTTTTTGTCAATGGGTGATGCTCTGTTGATGGGTGCTTACATCGACAATTAAGAGTTCTGACCATAACAGGGATATCAACGTGCGCTTCATCTGATTCACCTAGATCCATGGGTGGGAACATAATCAAAGTGAATGCATTGGCAGTGAGGCATTCGACAACGGATCTACAACACGCATTAATCCATCTTCTGTTCTCAGCAAGCGCTTACTCTCTTCGTGGTTGTCTCAAACCACGCATGTTTCTCGATATCTGAAACAGCGTTGCAGCAGATCGAAGGCTGATGCTTCTGTACCTGTGGGTGCAAAGACAGAGAGACGACGGCCCCAATAGCCTTGCAGTCCATGTCAGTATCAAGGTTTCTCCAGTGAACAAATATGGGGGTTCTTTTTGGCTTCTTCGGCCAGTTGCTTTAGCGCCTCATATTCACGTTCTGGGAGAGGAACCCCACCATCTGAATTTCCTACTAAATTAAAATACTCCTCATAAGCCTGAATATGTCGCGAGCCCTCTGCATTGATAGAAACATGGTCAGCGTTCCCGGCTGAGATCAGATCAGCGCATTTCTCGTTTGACATAGAATAGGGCCAGTGAGCTGTTTCTGATTCCAGAGGACCTATTCAGAACCCTCACGTGCTGACTATGAGCAACCCAGTAGTCCCCTCATTGTACTTTAACAGGGTCGAGCAGCGCTTAATGGTAGTCCCCCCTCGTTGTACTCTTCACGTGCCAAAAATAGACAACTGTAACTGGGAAAATATTTTGTTGTAGAGGGCTTTATCATACACCTCTAACAACGGATCCAATTCTCTTTTGTGTCGAAAAAATGAAATCCTCACTCCTCCTTTTTGTGTTTTTCTGCCATTGCTGATAGTAAGAAAACATCTAACACTCTGGCATCTTCATAATCACAGTGATGTAGTGACTGCTTCAGGCAGATTACCTTTCGTGGGAGCCAAATGTTCAACGATTTCCTTATTATCAGAAGACGTGGAAGCGGCGGGAGAGAAGGAGGAACGATGGAATACCCACAGCCAGTTCTTCAGGAATCATTAGCCTACAAGGAACCAAGAAATGATGAGCGAGAAGAGGGCATAATCGCCTCGTCCCTGTGCATCTTGCAGACAACCCTGTCCACTTCTGCTTATGGACACGATACCACGCATCTTTATTGCAAGAGGCATGGCAGCCACCGCGACGAAAAAACATCAGTGCAATCATTTCTTTTAATATCTTTTGAAATTAATTGGAGACGGTAGAACGCTTCCAATTAAAGCAAAAGGTTGATGGGTTTGGCTACTTGCAATGACAATCAAGCATTTAGCCTAACGTCCTTCCCCACCAGAGAAGAATGACCACGGATGTCTGTTCCGTGGAACCTGAGTCTATAGTTGAAGTTCCTGCCGTTACCCACAGCTGTATTCCTTCACTCGCTTGACATCGGGATACAACTCGTATCATCGCTGACGCCATTGTTGTTGTGACAATCATGATAATTGCAGAATGGGCCTCGCTCAGTGTGGCAATCAAAGTCCTCCCCTAGACATGAGAAATTCAACGAGGCGCAACTTTTTGGATGAGACCTTTGCCGTCTGACGCAGCATGATTGGCGCCAGAGACTTTCAATACGTAATTGCAGGATGGGCCTCGCTCAGTGTGGTTAGGACAACAAACTCATTCGGCTTTCATAACGACTGTTATGATTCACACGATCATTTTTAGCCAAGGAATCTTCAGAGCACAAATGTCCCGTTGCGTCGTGCGGAAGTCCGACAATTTCCATCTCTAAAGAAGAGCAATCATCACCAGACCAAAGGAATTACCACTTCCGTTCTAATCCAGTACATCGTTCTATCTCACAGTTCGAGTCCGTCTCTGAAAGCTCTAGTTCTAGCTTGTTCAAAACCGAGAAATTCCCGCCAAAGTGATTCAGTTAATACCCGTTCATAAAGTTGAACTGATAAACAAGAAATTGAGAAAATTGAGATACCTTAATGGATCATGGACTCTCAAGAAATTTATCCATGTCTACTTGACCTGCGGAAGCTCCGAAAGTTATTGTTCAGCTGAACTGGCCAGAATGGAGGTGTTAGAAGACAGATTTAAGGATTATGACATTGAGGGGGGACTAGGGTGATTTAGAAATTACGTGGAACGACGAGGCTTTAGAAAATGAGAAGTTCTTGATTAATGTCACTGCGGGCTTCCACAACAGAGATTGGATGGCTTTTGTCGCTTAAGTCAAAGATCACTGCCTCACTTATGGATTCCCATTGTCCAATTATTTGCTCTGTTACCTCTCTGGATCATCATACAACCACAAAATAGCGAGTCAGTATCAAGGGTTTCTTCCCCAAATGAGGTTTCACTAGCTTGCGAGAACAATTGGGACCCATGTTTTACAAGGCTCAAAATATGGATCCGGTATATGTTGCTGCGAAAGTCCGGAAAGGAAAGTTTTGGATGTGACAAATCACCTTGTCCTTGACCCCACAGCTTCAACTCTTCGCTCAAAAAAACGGTCTAGTCCCGCTTCTCACACGTTACACCCCCACTCCATCCACATCAACAGCCATTGCCACAGTAGCTTCCTCTTTTTTTTCACCAAACACATGATTTTGTCCATCAGCTCCAATTCATCGAATTCGCTAATCAAACCGAAGAGGACGTGTGGATGCGTGTCATCGATTAGAGTAAGACACACAGAGACATGATCAATGAGCTTACTGGTATGACGTACAGGTACATTTCTGTCGAACAAAGGTGGGAAATCCAGAGCTATTTTGTAATGAATCATTTAATGAAGATCATCGATTTCTACGAATCTCTCGACAACAAGAACATCAGATGGGCCGTTTTTGCGTTTCCGTCAGTTGACTTTGCCCCAGAGGAACCTCCGAAGCTCAGCAAATTATGTTGCATGGAACTTACCTTTGGACTCGACTTCAAAATTTTCCGAGTTTCGTAACACTGACAGCACTCCATTTCCCTTTGACGTTTCTGGGTGGGGTATGCGGGGCATCAAACTCTCAAATGCCAAAGAGCGCTCTGCTCAGAAGACCATTTCAACAGTCAGCACGTTCATGAAAGTTCACACTGATAGTCCTGGTGTGTGGCGCGGTGTAAGAGACCATAACATCTTCTTCCAGAAGTCTTCTTCCAGCTCGAATTCAGCCTCAACACGTCGCCCCGGCGGGTGGGAATTTGGAAAGACCCCAGCCCCTCCCGAAATGTTGATCAGACAAAAGGAACCAAAGAAAATCTTCGAGATCATTCTCTCTCTCTTTACTCCGCCAAAGTTTGAAGCGCTATATGAAGGACTCCCCATCTACCAAGATGCACAAGAGCAAATTGGATAGAGGACCTGCTTACGGAAACCAATACGACCAAAAACTTAAAAAAATATTGACGGTGGAAACCAGACGAAAGCTTCCTCGAGGGATCAGTTACTGATGCTAACGTTCAACGACTTCCATCGTTTTTATTCACAGCAACAAACCTTCAATACGACGAACGGCCCAACTATACTGCAAATATTGTAACGATGGACGGGAGATCACCATCGAGAGAAATGGGTCTTAATTTATCCTGCGATCGTAGGACTTCCATCGTTTTATTCACAGCAACAAACCTTCAATACGACGAACGGCCCAACTATACTGCAAATTGTAACGATGGACGGGAGATCACCATCGAGAGAAAATGGGTCTTAATTTATCCTGCGATCGTAGGAATCCAATGGTATGGACCTCCCGGAGAATGGCTATCAATGTTGCAAACTGGTTTTTTGCATTCGGGACCATTTGGAATTAACAAGGAAGTTCGGAGACCGAAAGTTAGAACTTTCGGAGGACTTCAAGTGAAAAAGGCAGCTCACATCAAAGTCTTGTGCATTTTGATTGCCAAGATCCAAGACGTTCTAAAGACAAACATTTTAACCATTGGGCTGAGTTATTCATGGGTATGTGAACAAGAAAGACAAACAGAGGAAGGATAGAGAAAAGAAGCTCGCAAAGAAGGCCAGATATCGGGACACTTCCAGAGACCGCACAAACTCGGAGTAGTAAGTGTGCTCATATATTGGTTGAAAAATTCACCGGCACCCCACCAGACTCCCTCTTCTCCTTCACAGTGTTCCTATTAACTCCTCAACAACAATTATCCTTCTTCGCACCTTCAGCAGTGGACCGCCTCTATATTCAACAATGTTGGCGCCCCACATGGTGACAATCGGGCCTTACCCCGACCTGCTGAAGATGCCGGGATTTTCAAGCATTCCTCGCCGAGAGCGACAACAAACCTGGTTTTCCCTGAAGATGCCGGGATTGGCCCACTTCCCAGACCAACTTTGGAATCCGCGATCAAAGTCCAACAATACGAAGACATACCGGATATCAGGATTATCCACTCCACAGAGCAAGTTCGCCTCGACTCGGATAATAACACAGTATTGCCGCGCGCGTGGA